TGTGTGTGTGTGTGTGTGTGAGTGTGTGTGTGTGAGTGAGTGTGTGTGTCTGTGTGTGTGTGGCGGGTCGTGACCACTGTGATGTTATTATAGTTAGCTAAAAATAAAACCATTAAATAAACATTTTTGTTACTTGAAATAAACATGAACTCAAATGAAATATAAAAAATTTAAATTATTTTATTTCAACTACTTGGCAAGGCACCATTTCTCATATTCATTTAGTTTAACTTTATTTACTAAAGTAAATAAGTAATTAAATAAATAGATATACACAAAAAAACAAATAAAAATGATAAAATGAATAAATTAAAATGCCGACTATTTTTGTATATATATATATATATATATATATATACACACATATAGAATAAACTTTTGTTACTTGAATGGAAATAAACATTAACTGAAATAAAATATTTTTAAAATTAAATTATTTTGACTATATTATTTTGACTAAACTATAATTAGTTGCCAAGACACAATTTCTCATATTCATTTAGTTTGACTTGATATACAATATACACACACACACACACACACACACACACACACTAAAACTAAATAACTAATACTAATGAACTAAAACTAAAACTTTAACTAAAACTAAAATGCAAAAAAAAAACTACAGTAGTATATATATATAGTAGTATAGTAGTAGTAATAAAAACTGTAGTAGTATAGAAATAATCGTGAAAACTAGAGGGTCAGAAAAACTCTTTCTGTCTTCAGGATAGATGTGGATTTTGTTTATTCGCTGAACTTTAGGTGCACTACTGAGCAAGTGTTTGTGCCCTGATCAGTGTGTGTGTGGTGTTTTTTCTTCGAGGTTTGGCTGGAGTGTGTTCTGCTGACGAAGATCAACTCTATCCGAACTCTATGTGGGTGTGTGTGCGGGAAACTCGAGGACTCAACATGCGGAACACGACAGCCAATCAGCATGCTGCACACATCTCAGCATTCACCTCTCGTAGACGTTAACACAACATCATGCCTGGGGAAGTTAGTTAGTTAACTGAGTATTACGCACCTTGACACCCTCGTTGTAACTGTCCACGGGGTTCAGGTTGGTCAGGTGACTCGGAGCGCCGGGACGGGGCGGCTTCTTTGGAGGAGCCACATGTTCTGTTGGACACAGGAAGGATCACATGATTCTCTGGTCTACAATTTGCATATTAGTCATTATAAAACAATTCTAATTGGATGAGACATGTGAGAAACGCTGGTAATAAATGCACACCATTCTGTATTAATGCACAAAAATGCAATGTTGCCTGACTGCAAACCATTTGGCATTATAATACTATAGACTCATTTAAAAATAATTAGTATGGAAATTTTATTTTGTTTTATTTCTTTTAGTTAAATGTCTTAAAACAGCCTTTCTTGCAGGACAGTTTTATTTATTTATACATTTACGTGACCCGATATTGCAAAGAAATATCTAAATATGAAATTTGAATCACTGTATTTCAGCTTTGTATATATATTTTTTTAATTCTATACATTTAAAATGTATCAACTTTGCATAGATATTACATGAAAAATATTAGCATTTTTCCAGTCAATTGTAATTACTGACTTGGGTTAAGATTTTAAAATTAATTTAAAGAGGTTACACTTACAATCAGAAATTTCTCAAATTAAAATTTGATATATATTTTAATTTTATAAAATATACACAGAAATTTTTTAGAAATTTCTTTAACCTCTAACCTTTCTTTAAATGATTATATAACTAAAAATAAAAATAAAACCATAAAATAAACATTTTTGTTACTTGAATGAATTAAACATTAAATCAAATAAAAATAAAAATATACAAAATTAAACTTATTTAATTCCAACTAGTTGGCAAGGTACCATTTCTCATTTTCATTTAGTTTAACTTGATTAACTAAAATGAATGAATGAATGAATTCTATAAATTTCTTTAAATTATTTTACACACACACACACACACACACGTATGTAAAAACATCACTAAATTACTAAAGCTTTAACTAAAATTAAACTGCAACATTTCTATAATAAATTCTAAAATTTTAAATAAAATATTTGGAATTAAATATTACAATCACATACAGTATTTGAGATATTTTTCAACAACTGACACCACAAATTTCCAAAAGATTTTAGTAACTATCATGACTTTTTTTAGGCCTGAAAATCACAACTGTCAAAATGATTTTTATATAAAACTATTTGCTTTATGCAAGAAAATAAAGAGTTGATCCATCTCTGTATAATTTGTATTGTAAATGTGCATTCAGGAGCGTCTGTGTTCGTACCTGCTTTACCCACCGGCTGATAAACATGCTGCTTCCCCATCTGAAAGAAAACACAGTCAGAAACAAGCCATTAAAACACCTCCTCCACTGGACTCAGACTGGGTTCACGCTGCCCATCAGGGTCCTGTGGAACTGTGGGTAGTTTGTGGGAAAACCAGGCATATTTCAGGTCCTCAGAGACCGACTCCAAAAAAAGAGTTTGACCCTTGAATGTCAGCAAACCCTCAGTGCAGATCTGCTGGAATCCCAGCTGTGAACGAGATGATGATGAGCTCTTATGAGATGATGCCTGTTTTTCACTCATTATGTGTCAGAGATGATGATGGCACACAGAAAAACCCCACGATGCCCCTTTAATTGCCCCTTTCTCCTCTCAGGGTCTCAGATTCCTCTAGTTCAGCTCTCTGCTAAATGAATTCCTTCCCGATGGTGTCTGAGGCTGGCGTACGATCGGTATTACTGGCCGCATGCGACTCTAACAGGAAGTGAGAAGCAGATTGTGTCCTCGCTGTGGCACTGTAAATCTCCCTCAGGGAAGAAACAAAAACAAGCAGGGAATCATGGGAAGTCGCTCACCGGGGACTGGAGAGCGCTGTCCTCGCGGTCGATGCTGCCCCTCGAGTTCCTCGACTCCGGCTTCTGAACAAACACAATCATTATTCAAATATATGGACTAAAGATTCAAATCATGCATCAGTTCCAGAGAAAAGGATTTGTTCATCTGATTATGTCATCACTCACACATCACATGACTGATGAATTCCATGGACTTTTCCAGTTATTTGTGAATACTGGATTAAAAGCACAACAGCATCGAAAACAAACAAAAAATAAAATAAAACTGAAACTTTGAAATGTTTTAAAATTTTGAAAAGTGAGAAAGAAACTATATTTACTAGCTATATTTATTACTATTGCTATTTTAATAGTAATTTTTTTTAAATTATTGTTTATTATTAATAATATATATGTATAATAATGTTATTGCATTTTTATTATAAATATGTGTTTCTTTCTATTTTCAATTTAGAAACTTTTTTTTTAAAGACTATATTAATTTGCATGACTTTTTTCAAGGTTTGGAAATCACAATTTCAAAAAGCAAGGTTTTCACACACACACACGCACACACATATACATATATACAAACATAGAAATACCTCCATAGATACATTACTGCTATTTTTTAAATATTTAACTTAATTTTTTTTGAAAACGTAACTCTTTTTCACAGATTTTTTCGTGACTTTTTAAGATTGTATTAATTAATATTAATAACAATAATAATAAACAGTACATTTTACATCAATATTTATTGTTTAAATGTTTATACATTATATTTAAATATTTAATGTTTTTCTCATTTTCACTCTAAGAATTTTAATGACTTTTTCAAATGATATGAATTTGCATGTCTTTTCCAGGCTTGGAAATCACAATTTTAAAATTCCCTAACAAGTCTACCTTCTGATCTGACAGATCTCACTCGAGGTCTCACAAAGAAGGAGTGACAAACTTCACGACAAAGTTCTTGCTCAACAAAGCATCTACAAAAGCTCAACAACTGGAAATAACTTCCAAACCCAGCATCATCCCTCACTATGGTGTGACAGTTACCGTCTTTCCGAAACAGAACTTGAAGAGATGCATCCTGTGAGCGGGGCGTCCGAGGGATCGTGAGTGCGCCGCGGCGAGGAAAGAGCGAGTTGTGTGTGTTTCCATGTGAGATGTGAGTCTTCAGGACGCTCAGAAGAGCCTGACTGCTCTCTCTCTCTCTCAGACTCCCTCACACGTCTTTTCCTGTCGGTCTGTCCTCTCTTTCACATCCCACGCTTTCCTTTCCTCCCACTGGTTTTACACCAGCAGAAAAAGCTCCTGGTATGTGCTGCTGAGCTCTGATAAACACTGCACTCAGGCTCTGATCTCACTCGCACAAGAAACTGAACAGTATTTATATCGTTTTTTTACCTCTGATTCACCGCCACCTATCTCTCAAATGGACCATTGACACTCTATCTACAATCTCAATTAGAAGTGTCAATGGTCCATTTGAGAGATAGGTGGCGGTAATGCACTTACAAGACTGCGATCCGCCGTAAAGCAAGAAGAAGACGACTGTAGAGGACGCACTCAGGACAGTGTGAATCAGAGGTAAAAAACGATATAAATACTGTTCAGTTTCTTGCACAGACCGATCGTTTGGTGTCTTTACACATCAATGTATCGTCACGAGCCGCAAGGTTCCATTTGGTTTTGTTTGTGTATGTTTTTTTGACTCTCAAAGCCGTGATTCCCATTCACTTCCATTATAAGACTGACAGACTGCAACGGTTTGAGTTAAAAATCTTCGTTTGTGTTCTACTGAAGAAACAAAGTCACCTACATCTTGGATGCCCTGGGGGCAAGCAGATAAACATCAAATTTTCATTTTTGGGTGAACTATCCCTTTAAATTGTTTATGATTTATAGATATTTTTTTAGATGTATAATTTTTTTTTTTTTTAAAGATTTGGTCAAATTGCTCACTATATTACCATTTTAAATCATATCAGTGTTCACTCCAGACACACTCTGATTCTTTCCTTTGGTATTCTGAGCATTTGTTTTTTTCCTTAAAGGCACGGGTTTCCACCGATTCCCACCAACCTTCACTGCCAAACCAAACGCTCTCTAATGACACGCGTCCTCAGCGGCCGCCCAAGTTTCCACTGGACGGAGAGCGATGTTAAAGCTCAATCTCTCCTGACAACAATCCTCAAATCTACAGCCTCAGCCTGCGGCCAACATCATTTGCGTGTCAGATCTGGTAAGTGTCAATTAAACGCCTCTCTCTCGCCACACAACTGTTCTCAGCAACATTTCACCAACATTCCCACATTATGTGATGCCTAAAATATCATCTGGAAATAAAGAGCTTCTCAGGAGAGAACGGATCTAACTGCGTTTGGCAGAGATGCACATGTGACGGATAAAAGAGCTTCATGGAAGCAGGTTTCTGTTTGCAGGTGCTCACAGATTTACAGCTTTGTTTTCAGGATTGAATCTGGGAGATCAGGACATCTTCATTTTGTTCCATTTCTTCCTCCGAGTAACAACAACAGCAACAGATGCAAACACACTCAGAGTGACCGACAAGCCAAAGAAAATGCAGGAAGGGAGAGAACAGCTGATCCGCTGCGAGTCATTTCATGAAAAACGATTTTTTTAATAGTAATTTTCACATTTATTTTTTAAATGGTTTATTATTGTTTATTATTATTAATAAATATGTATAATAATGTTATTGCATTTTTTATATAAATATTTATTATATATTTTCTAAAATTATAAGTTAAATAATAATGATAATTATTATTATAAACTGCATAATATGCAATTCTATATTCTATAAATATTGTTCTTTAAATATTTAAATGTATACACACACACTATATATATATATATATAAACTTTACTTCTTACTTTCACTCTTGACGTTTCCATGACTTTTTAAGATGATATTAATTTAATCTTTAATCCAGTCTTGAAAATCAATTTCAAGGTTTTCACATATAATATTACTACTACTACTAACAATAATAATAATAATAATAAAAACACATTTATAACATTTTAATATTTGTATATCTGTTATATTTTATTAATATTTAATACTCTTTTTTATATTTAAATATTTATAAAATGTAATATTTTTATTTAATACTTTATTATTTTTACTCTAAAAACTTTCATGACTTTTTAAAAATATAAAAATTTTATATGAACATTTCAAGGTTTTCACATACAATAATAATAATTTATACTATTTTAATATTTGTATATCTGTAATATTTTACACATTATATGTTTATATTATAATGAAATATGTATTGTTTTTTTAAATTGAAAACTTTATTTCTTATTTTCACTCTTCAAAGTTTTTAGATTAAATGCTTGGTTAGCTTCCATTAAAGCTTTCAGAAAAATATTTGTATATCTGTTATATTTTATTAATATTTAATACTCTTTTTTATATTTAAATATTTATAAAATGTAATATTTTTATTTAATACTTTATTATTTTTACTCTAAAAACTTTCATGACTTTTTAAAAATATAAAAATTTTATATGAACATTTCAAGGTTTTCACATACAATAATAATAATTTATACTATTTTAATATTTGTATATCTGTAATATTTTACACATTATATGTTTATATTATAATGAAATATGTATTGTTTTTTTAAATTGAAAACTTTATTTCTTTATAAAGTTTTTAGATTAAATGCTTGGTTAGCTTCCATTAAAGCTTTCAGAAAGGCTTGGGGTAAAAGGAAGAGAGCAGAGAGAGATGTTGTGTCAGTACCAGGAAGCTCTCCTCCTGCTGCAGCCATCTCTGGTCCTCCTCCATCTGCTGCTGCTGTTTGATGAGCGTCTCCTCCATCCCCAGAGCGCCCCCATCCTGACACACACAGCAGGAGTTACAACAGCGCTCATTCACACAAGTACGTCCTCGTCTCTTCACTCACCTCCATGTTTGGAGACCACACAGGCACCTCCTGTCGGTGATGGTTCCATGTTTCATGCGGGTCGAGGACGGAGGCTTGCGGCGGGTATCCCGCACCGGGCACGAGTGCCCCAGGATATCCAGACCCCTTGACAAAATGACAAGACATGGATTTCGAGTTCATTTACATTGAATAATTTAGCACATGCTCCAAAGTGCCCCAGTAAAAGCTGTAAAAATAAATAAACAAATAAAAGAGTGAAAGTCTTCAAAATGCAATCAATTATACTGTACCAGTCAGTATTATTTATATATTATTTTTAGATACGGTTTTTCTTAACGTTTTTATATTTTCAGTTTTCATTTTAAATTTAGTTTAATTTGAAGTAATTTTGTTAGGCACTTTTCTTTTTTTTTTTTGCTTTTATTTATATTTCTATTTGTTTAATTCATTTTTATTTCCTGTTAGTCATTTTTGTACTTTTAGAACCTAAACTTATTTCAATGTTTAATCTAATATTTATATTTGATTACATTTCAGCTTTGATTCAGCTTTGATTTTTATATTTTCAGTTGTAATTTTGGTTGTTTTTTATTTTCATTTTAGTTTATTTCAAGTTAATAATTTGAGTACTTACTTAGAACTTAAACTTGTTTCATTTCTATTACTTTTTTATATTTCTATTTAGTTTTTTTTTTTTTCAAATTGTAAATTTCCAGTTAGTGATTTTAGTATTTATTTAAACTTATTTCATTATTTAAAAATTTTTCCATCTATTATTTATAGTTCAGCTTTGAATTAGCTTTTATATTTTCAGCTTTCATTTTTTAGTAATTTTGTTATGTGCTTTAGCCATTTTTATTTATTTTATTATTTTAAATATATTTTTATTTAGTTTTAATTTATTTTATTTTTAGTAATTTGTTTGGCCATTTTTATTTAATTTAGTTATTTTATTATATTTAATATATTCAGCTTTGATTTTTATATTTTCAGTTGTAATTTTGGTTGTTTTTTATTTTCATTTTAGTTTATTTCAAGTTAATAATTTGAGTACTTACTTAGAACTTAAACTTGTTTCATTTCTATTACTTTTTTATATTTCTATTTAGTTTTTTTTTTTTCAAATTGTAAATTTCCAGTTAGTGATTTTAGTATTTATTTAAACTTATTTCATTATTTAAACATTTTTCCATCTATTATTTATAGTTCAGCTTTGAATTAGCTTTTATATTTTCAGCTTTCATTTTTTAGTAATTTTGTTATGTGCTTTAGCCATTTTTATTTATTTTATTATTTTTAATATATTTTTATTTAGTTTTAATTTATTTTATTTTTAGTAATTTTTTTTGCCATTTTTATTTAATTTAGTTATTTTATTATATTTAATATATTTTTATTTAGTTTTAATTTCAGGTTTTTTAAAGTAATTTTAATACTTGCGTACAACTTAAAACTTATTTCAGTTAGTTTTTCATCTACTATTTATATTGCATTTTATGCAATATGTTTTTCAATTAATTATAATTAATATGGTAGCAATATTATATACAATTCAATACTGTACCATTGTATTTTTCCTTTCCTAATTCCTTTTATGCTCATAAATGTTGCATTATGTAACTAAAATGTGTTGTGAAAGGCGTTTCAGTTCAACTTTAAGACCCCCGGAGCATCTCGGACCCCAAGCGCTTCCTCTCATAATGGCTAATAAACACCCTGATACAAAAATAACAGGCACTTTGAGCACAAAAGCCTTTAAAGGCATGAAGACAGAGCGACGATAAGAGCAGTGAGCTGAAGGAATGTATCTGGACTCAACAATAGCAGCATCTTTAAAGAGCCCACAGGAAATGCCTGCTGTCAGAGACGCTCAGCGAGACACTGGGAAATAACTCCGACTCAGAGCAGATGATTGAGATGAACGCCAGCCGGTCAGACGCTCTTCTCATCAGTTTGCATGCACTAAACACTGACGTAAATCAGAGAGAAGTGCTGTGCTATGTGAAGTGTGATTGGCTAGCTGTTGAATGTTTTATGTTTGGGGTGTTGGGATAGTTTGGGGTATTTAGTGTTTGGCTACCGTAATCAGAGTTTGTCCGTTTGGTGAGTTTTTATGGTATTTGGAGACTTTTTGGGTATGTTGAAGAAGAACGTGTTACTGCACAACTCAGATTCTTAAGTTCATTTACTTACTGAAGCAACGTCAGCCTTTCTCAATGTACAATCGCCAGCAGGTTTATGAATAACAGGACTACTCACTTTGTAATGTTTTTAGTGCAAGAAAAACTGCTATAAAACTGCTGGTAATTGTTGACCTGTTTTGTCTGCTTTCTATGACAGTGATATAATCAGCATGTCATCAGCTTAGGACAAAAAAAAGAAGAAGAAGGAAATCACATTCCCCATTCAATAAGATTATACAATGTTATTATTATTATTATTATTATTACAAAAAATATATATTTCTAATGTATTATTATTTCAATAAAAAATAAAGCAATATTGCTATTGCAATAATACTATAATACTGTAAAATAACAAAAGTATTCACTAATATAATAATAATGATAATAATTATTATTATTGTTATTTATTAAAAATAATATTTCTATTTTATTATTATTCAAATTATAAAAATTAAACCAATCAATAAAGAATATATTACTATTGGAATAATACTATTGTACTGTAAAAAAATTATACTAATATAATAATAATAATAATAATAATGATACATTTAATTTTACAGAACAGTAAAATTACAACACTAATATGTGCGGCTGCTTAATTTCTCTGCTTTCAAACATTAAAACTATAGAGAAAGCGGAAATACAGTGGAAAACCACTGGGAGATCTTAAATCTTCTCTTTTGTTGCCAACAAACAATTCTAATGACAAATATAAAAACATGGTCGCATTGTCAACTTCAGGTTACAAGCAATCCTTGAATTTAGGCAACTCATCAGGTCGGAAACTTCACATTATACTGCATTAATATACATTATATATGCATTATACCTTGAGAAAGGCTGATGGCTAAAATGTTGGTTCACTAAATAAATTAATAAAAAAGCCTTTGAATATGAATACCGTATTGACCCGAATATAAGACGATGTTTTTTTCTTGGAAATGCATCTGAAAAAACGCAGTCGTCTTATATTCAGGGTCTAGACTTTGATGTGTCAATAATACACCCACAACAATAGGTGACGCCAAATACACAGAAAACGAGTGTGCCATGAAATACGTAATGTAATGCGTGTTGTAAAGATCGCGAGTAAAAACAAAAGAGAAAGAAAAGCTTACAGCTGCATGAGTCGTGACTGTCACGTTAGTCTGATGGGGGCAAACTCCCTTTGTGATTTTAAAACGTAAGACAGTACCCAGATTTGAAGATTACAGTAAGATTTAACTTCTACTGTTAATAAGATTTTGGTAGGCTACTATTAGATGGATAGCCTAAATGTCCTAATTCAGATGGG